TGATTTAAAATATGTTTTTTCCGCTACACAGATCTAACCATGTTTCAAAAATGGAAGCTAAAAGCCCCGAATTTAATTTTGTAATAAAATTAAAGACCTTAGTTCCATTTCCTTCTCAAGCGAATTTTGGAGTGTTCTTTCTTTATATATATATATATATATATATATATATATATATATATATATATATATATATATGACATGTACCGGGAAGGGATATATTTGAACGAAGTAGCTAAGTGGTTTTGGGCTACTATAACCAAGTAGAATACGGTAGCAGCAATCGACTGGTACGCGTCGTAGTCACTGGTAAGAAGTGTAGATCAATGGCGTAGTCCAATGGGGCGTCGTTATAGACTTAGCTCTCAGACTAAGGCTCTTTGGCTCTCCTACAGGTCCGTCGGTATTTATGCCGGACACCAGCCAATCATATTCCAGTAACGGGAAACACAGATGTATGCATATTCCATTATGTCAATATATATATATATATATATATATATATATATATATATATATACAGAGAGAGAGAGAGAGAGAGAGAGAGAGAGAGCTAGAGACAGAGATTTAATGAACTCCCTCCGTCGTCCTCTTCGACTTATAAACAGAGAGAATACCCAGTATATAGTGGTGAGGGCTTGTACTGAACCAGCCACACTTTTCGGAAGAACTGAATACTGAGAACCGGTGCACACAGATTCAGAATTCAGAGAATATATATATATATATATATATATATATATATATATATATCAAGTATATGATTGGTGTATACGGAATAAATTCCAATCACCAACAATTACTATTCGTCAAAGAGTGCTCAATACAGAGTAGAGCGAATATAATTATTTATTTAAAAATTATAACATAAATATGTTATAAAATCACTACAAAAATAACCATTTTGTTTCAACACCTCTGGTGTCTTATCAAGTGATGATGTTGAAAGTAGATTGTAGAATAATATATATATATATATATATATATATATATATGTGTGTGTGTGTGTGTGTGTGTGTGTGTGTGTTGGAAAGTATTTTTAACATTCTCCTCCCCCCAGTATAACCGTTTGATCCGAATCATCGAGGCTGAGTTTTTCTAATTCTCATCGCTTCCGGCTTTCATCAACCAGCTTCAAAAGAAAGATTACATTTGCTTTGTTAGAATTGCATGAACAATTATTTTAAAATTTATTCATGCATTCTGTTACGCGTTAGTTTGCAGGATCTATAAAGATAGTCCGAAATGTTAAGCATTTCAAAAGAAATCGGGAATCTATTCTTTCCATCTCAAACGATGGGAGATCTGGTTGAATTTGTTTAACGGCATAATGTGGTTTGGCAGAATTTAATGGGATTTAGTAGAATTTAATAGAATTTAATGGCATTTAATAGAATTTAATGGTGTTTAGTAGAATTTAATGGTTTTTTAGTAGAAAACTTTAATGTCGTTTTATATCATCTTCTATCAATTACGTCATTGTTAGTTTTATTGTTTAAAGTGAGCATGATTAGCTTATACGTATATCGGTTCAGGGGGGCTAAAGTCACGTGAGGGGGTGGCGTTAACATGGCACCAATGGGCAAAGGACCGCGACGACAGAGGACACTGGCCACTCCAA